TACCAAAGATTAGGTGGTCTCTTTGGAAAAGGTTTTACATCTACCTCACATCTTTCTGAGTTGCTTTTAGCAGCAACCTAAAAAGCTCCTTCAGTTATGCCCAACACTGCAAAATGCCGGCCTTGTGAATTTAGAAACTCTATCAACACTTTGCTGCAGGTAGATATTACTTGATATTAAATCACCATGGAATGTCTGTAGAAATGCACTAGATACCAAAGGGTTTCTGACTGAGAAAAGGTAAGCACAATGAAATAATTAGATATGATTTGCCATTTCTTTACAAGCGTTGCTACATACGCAATTCAGCATGTGGTTTCTCACTTTTCTTATTACATTGCTTGTATTCATTGTGTCTAGCTCTCTGGAAATGATTTTTTAAGCCCTTGAAAATCAAATAATGCAGTATTAAAAATCAATTTACTAGGTTAATCATAATGCTTTTCTCATTATGGTGTGCACCTATAATACCAGCTACTCAGGTAGCTGAGATAAGAGGAACACTTGAGCCCAGGAGTGCAAAATCAGTTGGGGCAGCATAGCAAACCCCTGTCTCTAAAAATAAAATAAAATAAATAATGCTTTCCTCAGCACTGACAATTCAACTGAAACGTGGCTCTGTAACAGTACGGAGAGAATGCAGGGCTTTCAAACATCTTTAAGGAAGAATGGGCATCCTGGATTTAGGCCTGGAGTTATCATTATATATTTGAGGAATATATGTAAATTCCAAAATTATTTAAAATGCTTCTCTACCCAACAAACTTGGGATCATGGGGAAGACATATGTAGTACTTACCAATATTTCTAGCTTCCCTCTTTTAGGACAAGGGGATATTTTATTGCCCTACCGCCTTCGAATTATTAACAGATATAGCCATGTGACTTCTGGCCACCAGAAGGAAGTGTTTAATTTCTAACATTCTTCTGACCTGTCTGGCTGCCAGGGAAACACACACAGCAGAACTATCACATGAGTGAGGGCTGCCCTTGAGAATCACTCAGCCATTTAGCAGACTTGGCATGAGCAAGAGAGAAACTCTGTCACTTTATGACACAGATTTGTTTGCTTCCACAGCGTGGCCTAGCCTTTCTCACCAGTACAGAGTCCACCAAGCCCTACCACAGCAAGCTCCTTAGGGTCCCTAAGCATGTCCCCAGTACTGTCCATTCATTCTTCTTACTACTTACTCTGTTCTCCTGCCTCCCTTTCAGAAGGTCTCTGATGTATACATCGGGCCTACCAGGATAACATACTCCATCTCAAGATCCTTAATCACATCTGCAAACAACCTTCTGCCATATCAAAGAATATTTTCAGCTGGTGTCTTTTGATCATCTTATCTCACCTTGCTCCTCTACCATTCCACACTCCTTCTCACCGTTGGCTAGTACAGTGTCTTAAACATGCATCCCTGCTGAATAAATGAATGTTTAGTTCAAAATGTATACCATATCAGAATCTTTGCTTTATCAAAAGCCCAAACAATATGCTTAATAAAGCTACACACACTCAAACATACACACAAAGAAAAAGCTAATGCACCTCATAAAAACAAAACTAGGTAAGAAGAAAGTTGCTCAGTCCAGGCTATCAAAATTAATGGGAAAAGGAAGTAAATGGTCTTCTCATACTGGCACTCAGTAGTAAGTCCTTAAGAAATAAAAAATAATGCATTAAAAAAAAAGAATGCATCAAGTTGATGATTATTTGCAGAAGAACATGTATTGTACATTCATATACCAGCAGTTAATATATACGCATGGAATCAAATCATCCATAGCTCAGCAGAATCTAAGCCATATGTCTTCTTAGATTTGCTTATTAGCTGTCTTCATTCCTTACATATTAGACAATTTGAGAAAGGTAAAGATAGTTATTTCATTCTTCTCAGTTCTATTTCTGCTTTCTTAGTCGACTCACAAGGGCCTTGAGGCAAGAAAAATTTCTCTTTAAACAAAGTTTTTTTGTTTAAAGAGAAACAAAAATTTATCTTTGAACATATGATCTCTCAAATCTGCCAAACGTAGTGACTTTATAGTAATTGTTTCAACCACTTTCTTCTGCTGACCCAATACTTCATATACCATAAGATTGAAAACATTCTCGTTTGCTGGGCGCAGTGGCGTAAAACGCCTGTAATCCCAGCACTTTGGGAGGCCTAGGTGGGCGGATCATGAGGTCAAGAGATCGAGACCATCCTGGCCAACATGGTGAAACCCCATCTCTACTAAAAAATATAAAAATTAGCTGGGAATGGTGGCACGCACCTGTGGTTCCAGCTACTCGGGAGGCTGAGGTGGAAGAATTGCTTGAACCCACGAGGCGGACGATGCAGTGAGCCGAGATTGCAAAAAAAAAAGAAAACGTTCTCTTTTATCTGCTGTTCAATTTGCTTACTCTCCAGCTGCTTGCCTATAGTTTAAATCATTCTCTCAGAAGTACAACCTTGACAATTCTGGGGTCTTCCAATGGCGAGTTTAAACTCACTTGAGCAACCATCTACAGGTATTGATCAACTTACCACCTATGCAACTTACGACCATTCGACTTTACGACCACCATCGCTAGCCACGACTGCTCCGCGTCTGGCAGCGCAAACCTACGCTGGGCATACGACAGTGCGGATCAGCTTCCGGCAGCACTAACATCTCCGCGTGCACCATTTCAACTGTACATATAGCCTACTCAACTTACGACCAAATCGTGTTACGACTGGTCCGCGGTCCCGACCGTGGCTGTAAGTCTAGCACTAGCTGTATAGGGCTTCTAATTATCCCATGAGTGAATCCAATAATTAAGTTGCAAACAAATCTCAACCACAACAAAACAGTTTTAGTTTGAGTGCAAGTTCTGAAGTGGAAATTAAAAATGTGAGACTAAAATATTATTTTAAGGGCTATAACAGGGAGAAAATGATAAAAAAATTAAAATTTGCCACTGACAAGAAGAACTACATAGGGGTTAGCAGCCACATAGTGGCCTGAGGCCTTGAAGGTGATGGCCTCCCTGGCTGTGGCTGTGAACTAGAATCAGCTGAGCCACAACAGTGAACGTCACAACACTCTCTGACACCTCAGACTGACCTCCTGCTCATGTAGACCTTCTGCCCTTGAACTTCACAGTTGCTCTCATGTCCTTTCTATGTTTGTCAATTCTAGGTTTTCAGCTCACTTTATTCCCTAGTTTAGCTTCTGTTTCTTTATTCATAAGGTAATGTTAGAAGAATGAATAAGGTAACATATGTAAAACATGAGCATAATACCAGTATACTAGATCACAAAAAAAATGTTACTTGGTTCATTCATTCATGTAATCACTACATGTATTGAGGGCTTAATACGTGTAAGTCTTTCTACTAGGTGTGGGAGATTTTACAACCAAAAAGTCACAGTGCTTATCCACAATTATTCCACACTACAAAGCAAAGTTTTTGAGCTAGAGTCTATGGAACTCTAGGTTTTAACTTCATAAGGTCTGTGAACTCCTCAAATTGTGAGAATAATGTTATGTTTACATGTACTTTACTTTTTATTTTATTATTATTGTTTTTTTGAAACAGGGTCTCACTCTGTTGCCCAGACTGGAGTGCAGTGGCATGATCATAGCTCACTACAGTCTTGAACTACTGGGCTAAAGTGATCCGCCTGCCTTAGTCTCCTGAGTAGCCAAGGACTATAGGAGTGTGCCACCACACCTGGGTAGTTTTTTTTGTTTTTAATCTTTTCAGTTAAGGTCATGTCTTGCTATGTTGCCCAGGATTGTCTCAAGCTCCTGGGCTCAAGTGATCCTCCTGCCTCGGACTCCCAATGTGCTGGGATCATAGGCATGAACCCCCCACGCCCAGCCAAGAGCACTTTTCTAAAGAGAGAAGGTCTATTTCTTTTAACGGATCCTCAAAGGGATCTGTAATGTGGTCATTATTGGTTTTCACCTACCCAGCATACCTCTCCTGATAACACAACACGTTCTTTCCCCTTGGAGAAGTAACATTTGCCATTCTCAATCAATACACTTTCTGTAAGTGCCAATCCCACCACCTGCCTCCACAATTAGTCCCCATCCAAACATATGGATGAGACTGGCCAAGCTGGGCCAATCAAAGCAGAAAAGACATACACTTCCCAACAAGGCTTCAAAACTTGTAGAATTTAAACCACAAATGTTTATGGCCATCTTTGCCATCATCTGGGGAAGCCTGCCTAAAATAGAAGCCAATAAGAAAGCTAAATAGAAAGCTGAAGAAAGGCAAACTTATAGAACTTTTGTTGGAAGACTTGATTTCAGCCAAAATTGAGGGCAATTCCAGCCTGGGACTTTTTGGTTACATAAGCAACAAAGTTCTGTTTTCCTGAAATCTGTTAGAATTATCTTTCTCTCCTTTTCAGTTAGAATCAATCCTGCTAATTCAGTTTAAATCTCTCCTACCCACCTCCCCAGCTCACCAACAAATAAACAAAACTCCTAGTTTATTTTCCCTGATACTAAGCAATACAACCCATGATTATTTTTTCGACTTAGGTTTATTAATCATAGGGCTCATTACTTTATCTATCCTGAAATACAAACTCCATCCCACCACCAGGCCACAGTTCACCATTCTCCCCTCATTTTACTTTATCTCCACATCCACTTCTTACATCCTTGCAGAACCCAAAAACAGAGATCACTTATTCCTCTAATTGACTCTGAACCACTTACAGAATCACAAAAGAACCAAAATAGTTTTCTCCATGTGTTTTCCTCCCATCTTTAATATATCAAAGTGATTATACATCCTGTGTCCCCAATCAACATAGTAGCATTCAATATTTGGTACACTCTCAATACATATTTGTGGAATAAATAAAATAAGGAATGATGGAGCTTTTCTCTGCTCCTCTTAAAAGAAAGAGAAGCTGCCAGAATTGAAGCTTGATCCAGGGGCTTCCCAGGGGACCAACCTCTAGGGAAGAAGATGTTGGTTTCATAGTTACTTGATCCATTAGAGTTCACAGAGGACAGTGCACACAAAATCAGAAAAGCAGGTGGGCTTATTGCAGTGAATGTGAGGCAATAGCTAGTTTCATTTTGAAAGTGCAAATTTTAAACCCTACCCCAATGAAACTATAATACATGAATAAAAAATGAAAGTTAATATATGAAAGCAAAACCAATCATTACAATGAAAGGATGGGATTAAGGCTATATTTTCTCATTCTGAAAAATCTCTTTTATGATATTTAATGTGATTTAAAGGGTTTTCAAAACACTTAGCACAAATCTCTATTTAAATATTAATAACTTTAAAAATATTGCAGCCTAGGCAACACAGCAAGATTCCGTCTCAAAAAAAAAAAAAAAAAAAAAAAAGCTAGAGATTGTTCACTTATGTTACAGCAAATACTCAAGTAGGAAATTCCCTGGTGACAAAATATCTAGAAAAGTATGGCACTAAACACACACACACACACTCACACACACACACTTGGGTTAAAGAAGTGAGCCCATTTAATAAAATGGACTATATTTTATCATGAAAAGTAAATAGTATTTTAGTTATAGGAAAAAATACTACAAAAATCACTAGAGCAATTTTTTTTTCATTGTAAGACCTAAATATAAGGTGTATATTTTTGCAACTGTGTTTTTTAGAAAAGAAGAAGTAAAAGAAGAACCACCTGCACCTAGGTGGCAATTCCCCATCACAGGGGCAGGGAGCCAGTCTAAGCCACTGGGCACAGAAGAGACTGCTTAGGAAATCCCTGTGAGCTCTAAAGGAAGTGAGAACACAAAAATGCAAAGCTCCTGTACTCCCCCACATATCACAGACTCCTCTAAATTTCTGTTGGATGTTTCAAGAGTTGGTCCTGGTGAAGTAGGAGGGAAAGACCAAAGGGAAGAGAAAAAAACAAAGGCCATTTGTGGGGAAGCTAAAAGGACACGGAAGTACAGAGGCAGAAATGGTGGCAGTAAAGACACCAGGGGCAAATGTGGCCAGACCCTCAGCCTTCCCACTGTACCTACACTGTCCACAGGACAATCAGGCCAGGACCTTCATCCCTGTCCCCAGATAGTTAGCTATCCCCAGCCTAAGGGGTTGCCTGCGGGATCTGAAAGAGAAGCATGAAACTCCAGAAAGGAAAAAAAAAATGCCTCTTTTGAAGGGGACTTCCCTTGCCAGTGAGGTTTCAGATCATGTTCTATAACAGCATGCTGGCCTGTGTCAGAGCTTCCAGGAAATGAGACAACTCAGACGCAAAGTACTAAGGGAAAAATTTCAGTAGTGGCTTGAAAGAAACTAACTGTTGAGTCTGACAAAGCAAAGTTCTAAGACAGTGCAAAGTATAACTAGGGCTACTTTGAAAATATAACACCAGAAAGGAAGGACAGAAAACCAGAAAGCAATACCAGAAAGCAAGGACAGGTGTTGCTTAGTTTTAAAAAATAATTACAGCTTCTGTTTATTGAAAGCTCACCATGTGTCAGGAGCCTTGTATGCCTTATCTCTTAGTCTTACATGAGATGATATGAAATTGACATTATTATCCCCAGTCTCATCTGTAAAGTGAGAAAACATACTCAGATAAATTAAGTAAATTAGCCAACATCACCCAGTTCCAGGGCCAAGATTCAAGCCAAGGTCCATCCGATACCAATTTCCATGCTTCTCCCTTGACCTTTCTGTCATTAATTAATTCATGTGACTAACTGTGAAAGTCACAGACTTCTTTAAACCTAGATCTTTCCTTCTGACATGGTACAAGTAAGCCTAATGTTAGATAAAATCATAGCCTAAGATGAGCTAATTTAAGCCTCAATCTGCCTCTGTCACTAACCAGTTCTGTGGAAATGAACAACTCATTTAACTTCTCTGGGTCTCAGTTTTCCAACCTAAAAAGTGGGATCATAGAGGGTCTCTACAGCTCTTGACTTCTACAAGTCATACTGAGTCCTCACATGCCAACATAAAAAAGGAAATTTCAAAATTGTCTTCATTTTTTAACAAAGTATATAAGTGGATCATTCCACTTCTTTATGGATAATATATATTTAAAGCACTTATGTTTAAAAAATTAAAATGCTTTAAAACATTTTCTGGATGGCCTTACAAATGGAAACAAAGTATTCCTAGCCAACCCTCTGTCAGCAGAAAGGCCACACAGAAAAAAGGCAAATCAACATTCTTTACCCCTCATAAATCATTATTCACCGTGGGAAAATGATTACTTGCCAGGAAGTAGAGCCTATGAATCATTATACTGTTGTCCTTGACCCCTGATAGAGCAAGAATTAGGGGAAAGACTGAAAACCTGGGGTTGAACTCTGATTTGCCAATAGTTCCACTCATGGCATCACAAGGCAGTGAAAACAGAAAGCTGATTGAGCCATAGGGCTGTCAAGTCCTGATGCTGCTGCTCTGCACGTCTGAGCCCAGAGCCAAATAACATGGGCCCCTGACTTTCTGAGTCACTCCTTGGGTATGAGTCTTTACAGCCCCAAAGACTCATTGATCAGCAAATGCAAATAATGCCACCCCTGGACTTGTCCTGACAGTCAACCTGCTTGTTAATTCCTGTGTAAGAGATATCCAGTTTAGAAATAACAGCAAAAGTCACAAGGAAGGGGGTTAAATTGCCTAACATCAGCGTTCATTTCCTAAAATAAAAATACACGAAAGATAGACACTACAAATACGTGTTCCTTTGTGGTATCAGCAAATATTGTGCTATTTCTCTTCGGTTGCTAATAAGCTATGGATTACAACTATAAATTCTTTTCTTTTTTTTTTTTTAGACAGGGTCTTGCTTTGCTATGCAGGCTAGAATGCAGTCGTGCGATAATGTCTCACTGCAGCCTCAACCTTTCAGGATCAAGCAGTCCTCCCACCTTGGCCTCCCAAATAGGTAGGCTAAGCCAGGTGTGGTGGTTCATGCCGATAATGCCAGCAATTTGAGAGGCTGAGGTGGGAGGATTGCTTGATGCCAGGAGTTCAAGACCAAATAGCTAGGACTACAGGCACAAGCCGCCATGCCCAGCTAGTTTTTTAAATTATTTGTAGAGTCAGAGTCTTGCTATGTTACCCAGGCTGGTCTCAAACTCCTGGGCTTAAGCGATCCTCCCACCTCTGCCTCCCAAGGTGCTGGTATTATAGGCATGGGAGCCACCTGTAGGTGTGTGGGGAGCTACCATGCCCAGCTTGCAAATACTTTTTATATTATATTTTTCTATATGGCCTTTGATGTCTTTAGAAAATGTTTGTTTTAAGCAAGAATCTTTTGTGATCAAAAGCATATAAAAATATGACATTTAATATATTATACCCCAAATATACAAAATCCTAGAAACTTATAGAAGGAGATAGGAAAGTTAATTTTATAACTAATCTGAATATTGTTCTCTACTTTCCTTAATGTTTTTAAAGTTAGTGAAAATAAAACTACATCGTTCTGACAATGTAGAAGGAAGAATGTTTAAAAGTCCTCTTAGTTCTGGGAGGAGACATTAGAGCCTGTCTTTATGATAATGCATAGATTAGAGGGAAGGGGATATGATAGCCAAAGTGTTACCTAATCAGCAGATTCTCACTCATTTGATACTACCTTCTTACTAGTTAAAAAAAATTGAGCATGTACTACTACCATATATCCACATTTTTATTTATGAATTACATAATTGTTATTAATACATTGTGAATAATATGTCATTCACAAAAGTACATCTTTTAAAAATATGATATTTATTAATAATAATATATTTATATATTTTGTTATTTCCTTTTTCTGTACCTTAATAGATCATGTGTACCCCACTTTGGGACCACTGACCTTTTGGTTTGCTTGTCATGATAGAAGTCATCTAAAAGGAACTCTGGAAAGTTTGAGTCTTTAAATAATCTTGTTATAATCCAAAATAGCCTGTTAATTTCCAGATTGACCTTCAGGCAACTAAACCAAGCACTCATAAGAAGTCACAATGTAAAAGAGTTCAGGCCACTGTTTGGTTAGCTTACAAAGAGTTACTTCTATTTCCGTAAATTTTTTTGGATCACTGCCCATTGGCTTTGGGGGACAGCTAAATATCATCTCCTCAGTAATGTCATTTTCCCTCAAGTGTCTTTAATGCAGAGCTATTTCTCTAGAAGAGAACAAGTTTATATAAATGGAAGAGAACATGTTTTCCTCCAAGATGGTTATGCAATGTGGGGAATATTCCAAGGAATACAGACAAGGCTGGACAGAGAGGACGGTTCTTTTACTTGGATGTGGTGGTAACTCGCGTTTCTAGATAAACTTGAGTACTGTTGCTCAGTACTGGTACTGTTGGAAGAACATATAAAACATCTGGCACAATCAGTGAAGGAACTATGAGCCTGGGTCCAGGTGTTAGATGGGTACAGCAAAGCACTAAACCTCTCACACTCTCTACCTACATGTCCCCAGTTACAAAATTCCCCTACTTAAAGGGCAAATACTCCTGCCTCAATTCACTTCCCATTTAAAAGTGTATTTGCTTGCCTTTCTAAAGACTCTAAAGACTAGTGGGTTTGGAGAAACTCACTAAACCACTGTTAACACTTAGTGTGACCTTCAGGAAGAGGTTACATGGACTAATAAAAGTGCACGGGGATCGGAAATGTTGGTGATGGGGTTGTGGCAGAGAAAGGAGAATGGAAGGGAGAAGGCTGTTTGGAAGGTCTGTTGGTTTCTAATGGGGCAATACTGGGGTGAGGGAAGTGGTGAATAAATTCTCCCACAGGCAAGCAACATCATTCACACTTTTGTTTAGAAATCATCCTAATGACTGCCACCCTAAATTTTGGTTCTTTGTTGGGCTTAGTTCTACAATCACTGAAATGAGGAAGTGAGCTCAACAATTTTGTAAACCTCACAGTTGACAAGAAGTTATGAAAATTCCCAGTGGGGTTACATTAGACTCTAACACTTAAGGAAAAGCAGGGAGATTCCATTGATGAGTCATACCTAAGGGACAAGGGAGGCTATAAAAGCTATTCTCAGACAAAATGAGTCTTTACAAAATTGGAAAGAATCAAATGAAGTTAACAAGTTTGGAAGATATGGGTGTATTTCCCATAGAACATGAGCATCAACACTATATGAGAAATTCTTGGAAACAGAGATTGATGCAAGAAGAATGCCTGGTTGGAAGCAAAAAAAGCAAGAGCAAAGATGCTGGCTCTGAGGCCAGCGGGAACGTTGGGGGAGGATCGTGGGACTGAGTCAGCTGGGACCAAAGAAGAGCCAACCATACCTGGGTGGATTTAAGGAATGCTAAGACAGGTCCAAAGTCAGAGAGAAGAGGTGACCAGGGAGCCTGACGACAGGGCCAGGCACTGTAATACCAAATTCCTTACGAAATCAGCAGGGTAGGCAATGTCTCCAGGGCAGGAGAGATGACCTTGCCAGACATGTTTTGATGGTAGAGGCTGAAGGAGAGCGAGATTAACTTTACCAAAAAGAAGTATATTGATGGCAGATGACTAACCTAGATGAAAATTTCTTGTAAAGCTTTTTCTTATTGAACACATCTACTATAAAGATTTTGGCATCAAATTTTATATGAAACAAAAATTGTAACAGCACTGAAGTGACTAATAAATGTGTGGTGTCAAATCTAATGTGAGCATAAATAACATTGAACACTGTAGATGATAATTTGGAAGATTCTAATTGCATCTTGACAACAAAATGTAAACATTAGAGTCGATATGATATCAAAACGTCTGAATGGAAAAACACAAGCTTTTTTTTTTCTGCAAACATTGTATATTTTGGAAGACTAAATACATATTTGATAAAACCACAGTATACAAAGCCAAGGCACTCTATGATCTGCCTGGATGTAATTATTTTCCATGGTTTTGTGTAATCATGGTAAAATAGTACTAATTCAATAGCTAATAACTAACTCTAATAATAATTAGCATGTAACAGTGGCTGAGTTTCCAAATAACTATATGATGTATGTATTTTTAGTGCCTGTATTTTATATATGAGTCTTTTACAAATAAAGTAATTTGGCCAGGCGCAGTGGCTCACGCCTGTAATCCCAGCACTTTGGGAGGTTGAGGCTGCGATTGTTGGTGATGGGGTTGTGGCAGAGAAAGGAAAATGAAAAGGAGAAACCTGTTTGGAAGGGCAATTGATTTCTAAGGGGGTAATACTGAGGTGGGGGTTGGTCAGGCTGGTCTCAAACTCCCAACCTCAGGGTGTATCTCACCTCAGGGTGGATCTCACCTGAGGTTGGGAGTTTGAGACCAGCCTGACCAACATGGAGAAACCCTGTCTCTACTAAAAATACAAAATTAGCCGGGTGTGATGGCACATGCCTGCAATCTGCAGCTACTCGGAAGGCTGAAGCAGGAGAATCACTTGAACCCGGGAGGCGGAGGTTGCAGTGAGCCGAGATCACGCCATTGCACTCCAGCCTGGGCAAAAGAACGAAACTCCATCTCTAAAATAAATGAATAATTTGCTCAGTCACACAAAGGCAGAGGCAGAACTCAGAACTATATTTATCCATTTCCGGAATCCTAGCTCATCATCTGGCCATTTACATTGTTTTAGTTGGTTTTAAACATTTTTTTCTTTTACATTAGAAATAATTTCTGTAACAATGTTTTATCATATTGCATCCTGTTTTATTACAGTGAAATGATCAGCTTACGTATTATCTCCCCAGACACAATGGAATTCTTCCACAGCTTACATGAGGTCATCAACATGTGGTCACATCTGAAAAACAGAAGGAGCTCAACTAATGTTTATTAAACTAAATTAGATCTAACACGGATACGAAATTAACAGTTCTGGCTGGGGACAGTGGCTCACACCTATAATCCCAGCACTTAGGGAGGTCAGTGTGGAAAGATCACTTGAAGCTAGGAGTTTGACACCAGCCTGGAAAACACAGAAAGATAACAAGACTCTGTCTCTACAAAACAGTTTAAAGATTAGCCAGGTGTGATGGTGCATACCTGCAGTCCCAGCTACATGGGAGGCTGAGATGGGAAGACAGCTTAAGCCCAGGAGTTCAAGGCTGCAGTGAGCTATGATCACCCCACTACACGCCAGCCTGGGCAACACAGCAAGACCCTGTCTTAAAAACTAAATGAATAAAAATAAAAGAGTTTTGGTAGAGTTCAGAAAGCAAGTCAGATCATTTGCATCTTAATTAATGGTACATTAGCTTCCAGACTTAAGCAAACAAGTTTCATCTACAACTTTGATTTCACTGGTTCTTTCAATATTAACATAGCTTTGATGCAGTTTTATTGCTCTACTTGTGGGTAGTTCAGCTTATTCAATATAATTTTCCTTTTTATTTTCCCTTTTGTTGATTACCTGCCAGCTTTTCTACACTTCTTTCTCACTCCCCACCCTGTCATTGCCCCTAGACAAATCTATTCAGTGATTTGTTACATTTGTTAGATTAAAAATTTAAAAAAAAACAGGAAAAAAAAACTTACATGAACCTTGGACCTAGACTTTTTTTTCTCCTTTCTTCCTTCCCTTTCTTTTTTCTTTCTCTTTCCTTCTTTCTTTGGGGTTCTTTTTTTTTTTTTTTTNTTTTTTTGAGACAGAGTCTTACTCTGTCACCCAGGCTAGAGTGCAATGGCACAATCTCAGCTCACTGTAACCTCCGCCTCCCAGGTTTAAGTGATTCTCCCGCCTCAGCCTGCTGAGTAGCTGGGATTACAGGCGCCCTCCACCTCAACTAGCTAATTTTTGTATTTTTAGTAGAGATGAGGTTTCACCATGTTGGCCAGGCTGGTCTCGAACTCCTGGCCTCAAGTGATCTGCCCACCTTGGCCTCCCAAAATGCTGGAATTACAAGCATGAGCCACCACACCCAGCCCGAGACTGGGTGCCCAGGCCCAGGGTGGTCTTAAACTCCTTAGAGCAAGGGATCCTCAAGCCTCTACCTCCAGAATAGCTGGGATTACAGGTGCACTGTTGCACCCAGCTTTAGGCTTCTTAGTTTTATTTCCCAGATTACCTTAAAAGCAGCTTAGAATTATTTTTTTTCTCTTCTGTTTTAGCCTGTGTTATAACCTGGATGGGCAACAACTGATTCTTAACTTCTGGCCACTGATTTTTGAGTGCTGAAATATTCAAAAGTTTGTTAAGCCTATTATTCAATATTCACTTATTCAGAGTCTGTCCCTAGGCAGAGCTACTAATAAAAACACAAAAGACAACTGTTGGCACATATATATCATTATATATATGGTTACATATGATACATATAGCGTACACTCATATACACACACAGTGTATAGCATGAGACTCAGTAAATGGAAGCCATTGCTTATTAGTCAAAGCAATGCATTAGTACTTTTTAAGTCCTAGGCAAAGTATAGGATTCAAAAGAGGTCCAATCTTATTCCTTTCTTCAAAGAGCTTAGGATATTATTTAAAAGTTAGAATAAAACTTTTGAAATATACTATATAATTAAGACATAAATTGTGTAATTTTTACTACATATATTGTAATTCAAAAAAATGAAGTAATACAAAAAGATGGGTTGAATTTTTTTAATGGTAAAAAATGTTTAATGCCGGATGTGGTGGCTCATGCCTGTAATCCCAGCATTTTGGGAGGCCACAGCAGGCAGATCACCCAAAGTCAGGAGTTCAAGACCACTCTGGCCAACATGGCGAAACCTTGTGTCTACTAAAAATACAAAAATTAGCTGGGTGTGGCGGTGCATACCTGTAATCCCTGCTACTTGGGAGGCTGTGGCACGAGAATCACTTGAATCTGGGAGGCAGAGATTGCAGAGTCGAGATTGCACCACTGTACTCCAACCTGGGCAACAGAGCGAGGCTCCATGTCAAAAAAAAAAAGTTTAAATGCATATGTAAAGTTATTCTTTAAACATTAAAATAGGAACCAAATTTAAATAATACAAGATAATTGTCTATTTTATTCCACAGCATGGTCTAAGTTAGGACACAAGTAGAGTGCATACTCAATTATTAAGCGTTTAACATGGCATTTTCTTCTCCTTATGTTTCATCAATATCTAAACAGCCTTAAAAGACTATTAAAAATAAGCTTTGCGCAGTGGCAGTATTGCAGCCAATGAGGTTTATCCAAGGCACGATGATTGCTAATTGAAAATTTTTCCCAATACTCCACCGTGACGACTTGCAATACAGTCGGCACTGGCAATTTTTGACAGTCTCTAGGGAGACTGATAGAAAAAAAAAAAGACTATTAAAAATACTTTTCCAACTGCTAGTAAGGACGTATCAAAATATTACCTCTAATATAAATGTATTGTGCAGAATTTATATTTTATAAATTTATCTTAAGAATTCAGGACCTCGTAGGCAATGATCTCATTTCTTCTCACATGAATGAATTATATTTTTTAAAAACTCAAGGTCAAGAGAGTCTTGATAAAATGATTAATCATAAAAAGCAAAAGCAAATGAAATTGGGGGCACTCAATAGGTTTGCTCTAGTGAGTAAACAATAGCCATCCAGTTCATATTGATAGCCTAGGTTGACTGGGGGATCTCTTAGATTCCAGGGTAATCAAATTTGGCTGCTCAAAAAGTTATTTTCTTTAGATTATTTACTCATTTATTCAATTCCCTAATATGTGCCAGGTTTTGTGTTGTACTGCAATATAGTAAGTGTTTTAATGGACAAATGTACAAATTGCTTTGGAAGCACATCAATACAGAAGAGGAAATCCCAAATTGTAGAATAGTTAGGAAGGTTTTCATTGAGGGAAATATTCAGGCTGATTATTTGACAAGCAGCAACCCTGAGAAGTAGATCCCAGGAGAAGTCTCTGAGGTGTCTGCCTGGTCTCCTACCTGAGCAACCAGCACTTGAGGCCTTGGCCGGATAAATGTGAGCCAAAATACCTTGTGGCTTTCTTGGAAATGCAGCTCAGCAACCATTTCTGGGGACAAAAGGCCACGGTAGTAGGCACCTGGCTGTTATCACGTTTGATAGGCCTATGCCATTTTTTCTTTTTTAAGGACCTTAATACTTCTTCCATCTCTGACTATATTCCCAACACTTAAAGTTAACTAGGTTAGTAAGTAAGGACCAGCAGGAACAAGAGAAGGGAAAATGGTCTTACGGGCAATGTATTCATTCAGTCCTTGGGAGTTTTCAGTGAGCAAGCTGGATATATTTTCAATGTTTTTCTCAAATTTTTATGAAAATTAACTATTAAAGTTTTTTTTAATAAAAAGATGTTTATGGGCTGGGCACAGTGGCTCACATCTGTAATTGTAGTGCTTTGGAAGGTCAAGGCAGGAGGATCAGTTGAGGTCATGAGTTCAAGACTAGTCTGAGTAACATAACAAGAACCCATCTCTACAAAACAAAAAAACAAAAATTAGCTGGGCATGGTGACATGCACCTGAGTTCTAACTACTCAGGAGGCTGAGGTGGGAGGATCCTTTGAGTCCAGGAGCTGGATGTTGCAGTGAGCTATGATCACACCACTGCAGAATTCCAGCCTGGGCAACAAAGTGAGACCCCCATCTCTAAAAAAAAATTAAAAACTAAAAAAGACTATTTATGGTGTTTTAATTGGAAAGAATATCTGAGAAAAATAAAAACTGAGTAACATACAGGGCTTATAAAAAGAGAATTACAGTACCTATATACATACATAGCATTATTAAAATATACATAATATAAACATGTAGCATATACAAATCTTCTAAGTAAGACACTATCTCAAGACTTCAGTCATTAACTCAAAAAACATTGCTTCTCCATGCTGCTTATTAAATTCTGTTTCAACAAGTCCTTTACACTCTTGACTCAGCCATGTGAGTATATATTTTTAGTCCACAGGATTAATTAAGAATATTTATTAAACTTTCTGGTCTATCCTTCAGCTTTCTGATCACTGGGAATCTACATTTGCAGATATTCTTCAACACCCAACCATGCACTAGACTTGCCCAAGTTTTTGGCTGGGTTCTGTGCTATGAGAATCACAGTGATAAATGAAATTTTGTTATTTTAAATGTATTCCATTCCGTGTGGTTTTTAGGGCTTTGCTTTCTATTTTCATTAACATTTTGCCAGGTTTCTTCTTTGTCTTCTTTCTCCTCTCCTCATTTTACTATTGTTTCTCAACAAACCTATTTCTAGATGTAACATACCCATAAAGAAGGGAACTAAAGCAAATACCTTGAAGAACATTCAGCAAGAAATCACAACCTCCTGATCCAGGGAAGATGGCTGAGGCTTTTTAAGCACTGAGTCTCTCCAAATTGATGCAAACTGATACAATATAATTTCTAAGCCTTCCAATCTACTCACTAAAAGCCTATAGACTTATATTTAACTAAGTATATATACTAAGTGGGAGCAGAGGGTTCTGGGGTGAGGGAATATCAAAGAAATAAAAGAAAGGAAAGAAATATATTTAAAGAACTGGATCTGAGCTGTGAACCTCACATGCACTATCTCATTTAATGTCTAAAACAAAACTGTAAACTAGGTATGACCATCTCTGCGAGATAAACAAAAAACTCAGAGAAGTTAATTAACTTTCCAACATTCTCATAGCTAGTGAGTGAAAGACCCAGAATTTGAAAGCAGCTGGGCTGATTCCACACTCCACACTTTTTACTTGCTGAACTCTGCTCTCACACCAAATGGGCCCACCCTGAAGCTGTTTAAAATCCACAGGGAGAAGAAGATTTGCATTGATAAGGGGAAAAAAGTCTACTTGAAAAAGGAAATC